TCGTGGACCATATGGACCACGCTTACAATATGGGTGTTTCAAAAGAGTTTCAGTTTAAACTGTCATTCGCAATTTTCGAATAAGAAAACAATTGTAAATCAGTGGGAATAGAAATATACGACTGTTACGGTGTGGTCTTTGGTTTCATTATAAAATATCTTGTAGTCTGACCTCCTTTTTATTTTAACTGCCGATATCGTACCTTCCCGTAAGCGAAAGAATTTTCATAATTATGTCAGTATTTCTTAAGATTACCCTCTACAAACAAACAAACTTTAAAAACTTTACCTCTTTATAATGTTGGCTATAGATTTAGAATAGAAATTTCCAAAGTGACACCTCATAATACATTTGGAGGCCGCATATAAAATGTTACCGTTTCTATACATCACATTACCGAACCGCTCTGTTCTGAATATAAATGGTACGAAATAGTTCAACTGGAAGGCGATACCACGAAAAATGGAGGCATTCGTGACCCCATTCAACACTTGTCTCTTTCTACACTTGGGCACACACACTTTTGAAAAGAACAATGTAACTATAAATTCTTTTTCGCATCGTTCTGTTCGTTTATGTTATCGTTTTAGGGCATATATGTGACGGAAAATGCGTTGCGTATCATCTTCACTTAAATATTAGCAGAGTTGGCCTGTTGGTACGTCCTAACAACAGGCCAACTCTGCTAATATTTATGTAATAAAAGCATCTCAATAAAATCTGGAACTTGTGATTTTGATGCATGAATTAAAGATATTTATCAGTATAGCGTTTTGAATGCAAGAGTTTTCATATATATCTATCTAACAACGACAATACCACACCACCTGGACCTGAGATAATATTAAAAAAAAAAATCTTTATTGTTCTTCACAGACAAACGAACTCAAGACATCAAAAATGTTAAAAAACGATAAATATTTTTTTTATTATTTTCAAGTATGAACAGTAATAATGTACTGCTTTATTTATAGCTTTATTACTATTTTTACTTTTATTTTCTTCTACATAAGATGATCCCATCTCAGAGTACCTGGAGCTGGTGGATTTTATAAGCATTTTCCAGTAATAATTTAATCGAATAAATTATTCAAATTTAGAACGAACCTCTCACACAATATTGATAGAATTCTCACGTCTCTTCATGGTTGCCAACCTCAAGCAAAACAAGTCGCAAGTCAAACGATCACTTTTTTTAACAGGACAAAAAACAATTACGGAAAAGTTACCGTAAGAAAAAAGGACTGCAAATTTTTTTGCTATCGGAAAGCATTGCCTTTTAATGCGATTTCGTAAACGAGACGAGCGGCGGTCTCCTCCGGGATTCAACTAATGGATTTTTTTCATACTTTCCTTTACTCAGTCTATCTGTTAGAAGTTTATTAAATTCCTTTTAATACAACCGTACTGTTTGTTCTGGAACGCATTAAATATGTAGGTACACTGTTGAAGTGTATTTTTGTTAGAAAGAAAAATTTGATGAAAGCCAAAGGAGTGCGCAGGTAATAGTACTATTTATAACGTAAAGATTCTCACAGAACTGTGTTCTGTGGTTATTCTTATTCGATTTAAAAATTTACTATAATAGGGATGACGCCTGAGTTAACTCAACGTTTAATAATTTATTGTCAGAAGTTTAAAATAATATATTTAAAATAATATTATTATTAAACAAACATCACATAGATTGCTCAGATTCCAAGTAGAGTAGCTAAAGCCTCCGTATTATGGAGTACCTATCTGAGACAACGAAGGTAACAAAACAATAAAGTATTACGTACTTTAATATTTTATTGTTTAGTTTAGTTTCATTATGTTCATTTTAAACATACAGGTGAATAAAATTCAATACAGTAATTAATATTGATTGCGTTTTGATATTGGATCAAAACGATGTCAAGAAACTCGATGTAATAATAAATCTTTCGTTATAGATAAAACAAACCAATAACGTTGTTTTATTAACTTTTATAAGTATAACTTACTTGTAATAGAAATTAATGTCAGTACGTGCAATTATCTTGAATAATCAAGTCACAAATAATCATTATTGCTTTATTTTTTTAAGTTTAAAGTATGTTCTTTGTTTGGAAAAAAGTTATTATTATCTACACAACACAGAACGCAGAAAAAAGTACTAGAGCTAATGACAAAAAAAAATGTGCAAGAGTTTTCTAACGATTGATACCTACTACAGAATATGGAAGTATTAAGGGTGTACATTACTTATCGTAACTTCATTTAGCGTCTACCAATACACACTAAATGAAAGACTGAATATTTTTCTTAAGTACTAATACTTTCACTTCCTAGTCGTTTCTGTTATTGATATTTTTCTCATTCACAATAGCATAATAAAGAAAATATATTTGAAACGTATAACCATTTTAAGCACCTCTTCTGACGACCTATCGCCGACCGGGTGACAGGTCTTTAAAAAAAACTGAAGTTCATAACGAACTGTCAAAATTTTCATACATTTTGAACTGTTCTCACCGACGTGTGGAAAATGTATAATGCGTACCCCGAGGTTATATGAGAGACAGATACTGCTTCGCATACATATCAGCTGATAAAGCGCGCATTTATTAACTAGCCTCTCTACTGAACCCAATATTCTTTATTCAAATTTTATCTGATGTAGGTAAATATACAAACTCATTTCGACATGTACCTATGATACTGAATAGTTTTAATTTATTTCATAATTAGAACTCATCGGTTGTAAAAACTCCATGGATATCAAATTTAAAAAAGGAAAACTTTCTTAAATTTTATTTTCGAGCAGTTCTTATTATTATGAGGACTTTAGAACGGCACCTAATTTGATCTTACAATTTTCTTCCGTCGGTAGTTCGTACTGGGGCTCAGTGTCAACGTTTCATTCGGATTACATATAACCACGTCACATTTACCGCTGACAACACACTTACGACTTTAGAAATAAAGTCGAATATTCTTATTGAAAATTTTGAAATTCAATATTGTACTATGTCTGGATGCAGTGCAACGGTCATTCTGTTACTGCGAGCTACTTGAACATCTTCCAACTCTGTATTGTCATTATTAAAAGAAAATGAGTATTGTTATGGCTCCCTTGTACTACTATTAACTGTAGTACATTGAAGCCAAATTGAAACTAACTAAGTATATGGTCTGGATAATTGTCCAGTATGTGATAATTGCCCATACACAGTGTATTTAGGTTTTTGTTGTTGAATAACTCGAATAGTAATTTTTCAGGTCAACTCATAAATTGCCATTTGACGTACCTTCTTAATGGCAATTTATGAGTTGACCTGAAAAATCTGACTACAATTTAAAAATATGTTGCCATTTATATTAATGTTTTAAAAATTGTTATTACCTACTTACTCAAATAAACTTAACAAAAGAGATCCTAAATACTTCATAAAACATTTTAATGGACTTCAAAAAATAATATTCTCAATTTGATTGAGTTTTTTTTTGCATATACTTATTTTTATTTCTTCGTCAGTAGTGGGCCGACTGTGATGATTCGTTTTCTTTTGTTTATAAGGGTACATTCCCATTAAACAAATCAATAGTTTTTTGCAGACTGCAGTAACCACATACCTTGTCTAATTTATTATGATGACGTCATTGTCGATGTCATGTTTCAAAATTCTAAAAACTTTTAACGATAAACTTTATTTGATGTTGTTCTGTTTTAACAGATCCTTGAATGAATTCAATTGAAGTTTATTAACCACTTTGAATCATAATAGCACATTTTTATTTAACGTATCCTTAATGCATAATTTACATTGGGCCCTGTCCCACATGCGGAGCAGCCTACATCAATTGGAGCAACTAAACTGTATAGGTGATTTCTATGCGTCCATTTCATTGGTCGATCAACGAATGGCTGGCAATTAAAAAGAGGCGAAATCACCAGACAGAAATAAGCTCAATCTGCAAGCGGATCCTATTTTAAAATAAATCGCTAAAAAGTTTTTAAAAATAGAATGAGTTTTGCAATAAGCCAAATAAGACTTATGGCTGTTTTACACGTAATTAAGTAGATAATCAGTATGTTTTTAACTTAAGTTTAAGTGAACAAGTACGTTTAAATACATAAATGGACGCTGTTATGCAATACTGTGTCAACCCACAAATTGACGAAAATCGAGATATTATTACTATCCGCTTCCTTAGGTAATAAACTACGTTTATCAAAAGAATTTTATGCAATTTAAACCATTCTAATACTAAAAATATCACAAAAACTGTTGACACGTTTTCAATATCTTCCATAGAATAATTAACAATATTGCGTCATGTTCCTTAACACATATACGTTTACTTATAAGCGCCATCTGTGTTAAGAAAAATGAGTCACGAGGCTTGATACATTATTGCACAATTCGATTATTCAGTCTAGACATGTTGCAAGAACTGTTGGCGGGTTTAAATAATAGTCTAAAGGAAAATCTCATCGATATAAAATCAAAAACTGTTAGCAAAAGAAGTTTGGAGCAGAATTTAAGTAAATACATTAAAGGTGAGTTAATATTTTGCGTATTTTTCTGACTTTTATCAAACCGCTTTCGAGGTTAGGTTAAAGTTCAAATTGTGCAAAAATGTTTTGATTTAGTTATAACATAAATTTTTGAGTGCGTTTGTAAACGTTATTTATTTATGTCAATTATGGAATATCATAATATGTAGATAATATTTCGATTGATAAGATCAATAATATTAACAGTTTCACTTAACATGTTATTGCAATATTACAATATTGATGTTTATTCAAGCGGTCATAGATTGTAACAGACTTAATCGATTATTGCAAAATACATCTAACTGTCATTGTTATGACTTATAATTCTTGTAAGACGTTCAAATACCTTGACTCATTATAACAAAATCCCATTAATATTTATATCAATGTATGATTGTAGGATTAATGGATTTTATTTTTTTGTAAAATGAGTAAAAAAATGGTAACTTAATTTCATGTATTACTTTTCTTTAAGATGTTGTTGCAGAATTCAAGAGGTCACAAGCTGGTGGATCTCGTAACGCAAAAGGTAAATTTACCCATGAGGACGTTTTTGGCAAATGAGAAAAAAATTGAAGTTGTTCCAAATCATTATATTTCAAGACAAACCTTAATGGATATGGATATCTCATTTCCAGTTATCAACATAACAGATCAGGACTTACAACAGTCACTTGAGCTTGAGGGTTCCAGGTGTACTGGATTATTTTCGGACATAGACATTGATGGTCGAGTATCTGTGTTTTCTCCAGTCATTGAGGAAAAACTAATAAGAATGAAAATTATATAAGCGTGTCAGGAAAACTTGTTACCTCTATACAGTTTGAAGGAAATGTTTTTGATCGCCGTTGTCCCCGCAAATGTACTGAAAAACTGTCAATAGATCAACGTGAAAAAAAAATTTAAAAAGTTTTGAAGTTCTGGATCATACGAAGCTAGATGTGCAATTTTTCAGAGAAGTGTTCTAGAAACAGAGAAAAAGAGATGCTACTCAGCCAATTCTAAAAGAGTATTTTCTAGAAAGTACTTTTTGGGAGGTGTAGAAATTTGTAAGAAGACATTTCTGAATACACTTAGCATAAGCCAATCGCGAGTTGATGTTGCTTTAAAAAATTTAAATCACAAGCTCCGATAAATGATCAAAGGGGTATGAAATCGGGAGGAAAAAAATTTATTTCGGAACAAAAATTGAATCAAATAAGACAATTCATTGAAAGTTTACCCAAGTACATATCGCATTATTGTAGAGATGATAGGACTGCACGTTATTTGGCTCCAAATCTTAATCTATCAACCATTTATGACCAAGTTCAAGCTAATTTTTTTCAAAGAATTTAACCTGAGATTCAAAACACCTCAGAAAGATACATGTCTTCGTTGTGATTGTTTTAAAGCAAGCATATCAAGTGCAACAGACACTGCGGAAATTGAGCAGTTGAAAAATGAACATAAAGCCCACTTAGATCACGCGTATAAATTGAGAGACCAAGTGAAAACTGATTCGGCTCGTGCTAAAACTGAGGATTCACTGGAGAGTCTAACCTTTGATCTCGAAAAAACTCATTGCTTGCCTCGATTACCCACAAGTATTGTTTATTATAAGAGACAACTCAATTTACATAATCTCGGCATACACTGTGGTAGTTCTGGAAAAGGCTATTTTTACATTTGGTTGGACATGAAGCTGGTCGTGGGACTCAAGAGGTGGGATCTTCTATAAAAAAGTTCATTAATGATCACTTAAAATCTAGTGCTTCGGAACTAATTCTGTGGGCGGATTCATGTGGCGGGCAAAATCGTAGCATTAAAATGATACTTATGTTATTACACGTTCTTCACAAAAATAACAACTTGCAAAAAATAACGGTTAAATTCTTACAACCTGGTCATACTTACTTTCCCAATGATTCAGAATTTGGAGATGTTGAATGCGCCTTAAAGTCTCATAATCGCCTATATACTGCAGATGACTACATCAGCGTTATGAAAAATTGTAGGAGAAAAAATAAATTTGTCGTCGCAAGACTTCAAAAAGATGATTTTTACTTGGTAGAACCTTTTCAAGAACGTATTACAAATAGAAAAATTGACACAGAGAAACAAAATATATCGTGGCTAGAAATTTTGGAAATTGAGCTGCGTAAAAATGATGCTCAAAATATCTTTATTAAATCAAAGCTTGACGACGACTGCAAAATAGTTATACTATAGTTACAAAATATGAATGTAAGACTGTTAAAATATAAAGACTGTTAATACAAATAGAATTTGTAATATTATTTGTACTTTTCTAAGGGTGTTATTATTATTACAGCAATAGTAATATAATTACCAGGCGGAAGGCAATAAATATCTGATAAAACTATTTAATTCACGAATATGTGTTCTTAGAGTTGAAAGGTAAAAAAAAGTAATATTTAAAAATGGTGTTTGATTTTTCTTGTCATCTTGACACTATGATGCGCTTTGCTTAACTTCAGGAAACCATTATTCAATAGTGTGTCAAGGCATATAAAATAATGCAGGTAACATATTAATGCTTTGTTTCAAATTAAGCAATAATATGTCATGAGACTTAAATCTGTTTTTCATAAATTATTCTCGATACCACATTTTTAAAAACCAAATATTTAATTTATTTAATAATTATATGTATATTTTATGATTTTAGTTTTGTTAATTGCTTCCTAGATTATCCAATCGTTTAAATACCTTCACAAAGTTATTTATTTTTATAACACAGATTTTATTTTGACAAATATGTTGTTTTTATTTTTAAAGACGATTTTCTCGAAATGGCTATCTTGTGGCTTGACATAATATTGCATAACAGCGTCCAATAAGTATCTAAATTTTAACTTTCTACTTATTACTTATCTGGGTAGGGGAGATGAGCCCAAAACGGGTAAGCTAAGGGAGATGTTCAATAAAACAATCAAGAAAAGTAACTGCAACTTATATTTGTACTCATAGGAATGTTTATTTATTAAACTTTTGAAAACAAAACACAATCATAGTACTCTTCTTATGTACTCAAAGAAAAATAAAGAAAAAAAAACCTTCGAACTACCCGCTTTGCCCGTAGGGGGGGCCTAAAACGGGTACCGTCTTTGGGCAAAACGGGTAATGAATAAATCTACGAAATAAATCAACTAAACTATAATTTTTAACATCTTAACCTTTAATTATAACATAATGACTTTTTTTATCCTTAATCAGTCTCCATAACAATCACATTATTTTTTTACTTATTTAAATCCTGCATTTAAAATTACATTTCTATCATTAATAAACAAACTAAAGTTATTCTTGACAAGCATCACAGTAATAAGAGCCTCTACCAGAATATCCAGTGCACGCTTCGTGAGTCCACATTTGGCAGTCATCACATCTGATCCAGTCTTCGATAGGTGGGTGTACATATAACTCAGAACAAACCAAGCATGAATATTCAGTTTCCTCATTTTTACCTTTTCGACCACGTTTGGGTTTTTTCTTTAAATTTTTCTTTATGACGTCAATTTTAGTTTTTGAAACTTTTTTCTTATTCTCTTTTTCTCGTTGTTGATCTTTTATCGGTGTGCTTGTAAGTATTTCAGCTTTCTGTGGCTTACGTCTTCGAGTAGTTTTTTTGTGGGATCATTTGAGGTAGTGGCCTGATGTTCAGTGGGGTCATATGCTGTTTTTCAGGTTGCAGGCCCGTATCTTCTGCTAAAGTCTTACATGGTGTTAAAGGTTCATCAAAAGATTGAACAACTGGAGTTGGAGTATTGCGCGAACTTATAGGTTCATTAAAAGGTTGCGGTTCGGGTTCGTTTTCTTCCATAGGCAAATTATTGTCCACATTTTGATTCAAAATAGACGGTGACACAGTGCGGTCAGAATCGAAAGATGATCGAATATTTGCATCACAGGGGAGAGATGTTTCAACATGATGTTCGTTATCAGCAACAGATATCTCTGGAACATTAGCAAGTGACTCAGTCTCATTTTTAGTTAATGGCTCTGGCCTATCAGTCATACTGGCTGGCATGTAATCACCGTCGTTAAATATGTGTCGATTGGTTGGCCATATACCAGTAGAAGTAAATCCTTTTATTGCATTATGTGCACTAGCCGCTTTAATGTAGGCCTCGCCAAACAATTTTGCCACATCATACTGTGATATGATGCGCCCGACATGTGTTCGTTGAAACAATGAAATAGCCTGCTCAAAATAATTTTTGAATGGACCGTATACACATGTATCAAGTGGTTGTAGGCGGTGTGTCGTGTGTGGTGGTAGAGACACAAAAATCACATTATGCTTTGAAGCATACTCTAGGACTTCAAGATACTTATGCGATTCGTGATTATCCATCACTAAAATTATTTTTTTATCAGGTGTTGGCCTAGTCATACTCACAAAGTGACGCAGCCACTCCAAAAATATAGGACCGTTAATCCATCCATTGTCTGTACAGCTTGCAACGGATCCAGGTGGAGCTCCATCCAAAAGTCTAGGTACCATTCTCTTCCGACCAAAAATTAGAAACGGGGGTATAAACGAGCCTGCTGCATTACAGCAGCATACCACTGTTGTGAGTTTACCACGCTCTACACTTGCTATCACGCCGACTTGTTTTTTTCCCGACTTGCTGAGGACTCTTGGAGGTTTGTTGCTGTTGGTTTGAATGCCAGTTTCATCAACGTTGTAGATCCGCGTTGCGTCAATGCTATGCTTTTCGATCTCTCCTTCGAGTAAGTCAAAAAATCTTAGTACTTGTGGTTTGTTAAAACCTCTAGCACGTGCTATTGATGTTGGTTCCGGACGGCGAAGACTCAAGTCTGGATGTCGATTCTTAAACCCCAGATACCAATCTTCACCAGCAGTTTCATTTTTAAATGGGTGTGGAATGTTATTAACCTGAGCATACTGGAACACAAGCTCTAAAAATTCTTTTTTAGTAAGTCCAAAAAATAAACTATCCATATGAAAAACATAATCAAGAAGTTCATTTTCTTGACTTGTCGTAAAGACAGTTGTGTACCTTCCAAGTTTCTTTTCTGAGCTACCTTTTTTAATATGCCGCTGTAACGTTGACAGATTTATGCCGTACTTCTTGGCTGCAGCGTTGACAGAACCTTTGCCAGCTTCTTCCATAGCACACTTCATAACTGCCTCATCCCAGGACGCATTTGAAGTTTTTCTTTTATACTTATTGACCATCTATAAATAATAATAAAAAAAAGAAATAAGTAAATAAAACGACATTTTAGTCAACTAAATTACAACACTAGAATCATGTTCTTGTCCTAGTCTATTCCAGGGCAAATCGGGTAGTCACCCGTTATGCCCCTACCCGTTTTGCCCAAAACACGTTGTAAATTTCAACTACCGTAACCTAAAAATTGTAAACACTGGCGACGACTAGGTATTCACAAATAACAAGCACATAACTTGTAAATGATTATGGAAAACTAAGAAGAACATCATTTGCACTATATTCGAGTAAATAACACTAGCATAAGTCGTTTTTTTTTAATAAAAATAGTAAAAAACTTTGTTTTCGTCTTACCTTGAAAGTGTTCGCTTCACGGTTGCGGCCCGACTGCCCGAGATGGCGGGGCGGTCGGGACGCCGCACTGCACTCACACATTCTCGCTAACACTTATACTCGTAGCATACCTATCGTCAAGCCTACCCGTTTTAGGCAGGTTACCCGATTTAGGCTCATCTCCCCTACGCATACGTACTTACTTAAAAATAATTAAAAAAAAATACTATTACTTATCTAATCAATTACATGTATGACAGCCAGTAAAATTTTAAAAATCGAATGTCCCTGTACCATTTATTGTACTTAGTTTTCTGTATTGTTGGCATAAAGCCGCTATCTATGAAACATGATTATTGAATGAATCCTTGAGGTTAGTTTTTATTGACACGTAACCACCCTCATCTACACGTCGCTACACAAACTTGGCACCAAGTTGAGTGATTTCATTTTGTGTTCGGATTCTTTCGAATGTTCGACAAAGCGTAAAATTGAGAAACAAACATGTTCGCTTTGTTCCCGGCGGGATTATGTCTCGGAGACGTACTTTTACTTTACTTTCTTGAGCCGCTTCACGTCTTTGGTCCCTATAAGTAGATAAATAATATTCACTTAAAATATAAAAATGTATATCTTCACCAGCCCTTTACGTCCCCACTGCAGGGGCTCAGGCCTTCCTTATGGATGGTTAAGGAGGATGGGCCATGACCCTCCACGCTGGCACAATGCGGATTGGAGGGTATTAACAACTGCAAATGCAACCGGGACCAACGGCTTAACGTGCCTTCCGAAGCACGGAGTAGCTCGAGATAATAATTTTTTTGGTCACCCATCCCGTGACCAACCCTTGCGAAAGTTGCTTAACGACTACGATCGCGGGCCGCGGCGCTTATCCACTACGCGACCGAGCTACCCTATATAAAAATATATATACCGAATATAAATTCACTCGAGTAATCCATAATCCAGTTTATCGTGATTTTATTACGATAACAGCTATTTTCCCGTGAGTTTTCCCGCGTAAATTATAACATATAGCACTCACTCACACTCACACTACACACTACACATAAGTATGTTGTAGCTTCACGTACATAGGTGAAATAATTTTCATGAACAGGTAAGTATTTCCGAAGATCACACCATACAAACAAACAAAGTAAGAGACTTTACCTCTTTATAA